AAAAAAATCTTAATTCAATCCAAGTAATATACTAAAGAATTGATCATAATCTTTAACATCGCTTTTTCTAAATGCATTGGCTCAAAGGTGTCAGCAGAGTTGTTTTGGTTTTATGCAGACAACATGCTCACAGTAGCATTACAGCTATCGCAGCTAGGTTAACCCGCTCACAGGAAATACATCTTAAAATATTGCGTAAAAATCAATACAAAATTGATATTATTTTTATTAGCATGAGCTTTTATTCAATGGGAATTCTACGATTGCATATGCATGCATAGGGTCTGCCAAGTTTGGCCAAAGCGACTTCACTTACATCAGCTGTTTGTCACGTGACACGTCTAAAATTAGGAAAAAATGTACAACTACAAAGATCGTAAAAGTTCAAGGATATACGAATAAATGTTTAAAATGAAATTGATTGTGTTTTGTTTAGGACAAACTCCTTAACCCAAAAAGTGCTGAGAGCAACTTCCTCATGCCCGGATATTAAGCGGTCTTTTGATAATCTTTGTACATTAAGATTATACCCATTGAAATAATGTAAAATTACGAAAAAAAGCAACAGCGCACAACTTGCTCCCAGCACTTTTCAAAATAGCAGAGAAAATATCTACACGTGTATAAAAAATCATAATTCATAGCTAAGCGGATATCGTTTTGAGATTATCGAGGGGTTGTGTCTGTGATTTTAGTACATCTCTGTAAAAATGTGCATTACTGCGGCTTAATATGAGACCTAATCGCTTTTAATTCAGGAAGACTGGAAATATTGATTAATGCATTCAAAATAATTGCTCGATTTTAGTTAATTAGGCTTATTTAATTTATAAATTTATATATACAAGCTTCAATAATAGCTTAAGCACTCAAACACAAATTAACTGCGTGTCAAATAAATCTATGACGTCATCTCAGTAAGTACAGTGATATTAAGGTGCCTTTAATTCTTCATTCAAATAGTGTTATAATGACAAGATAAGTTATGAAATTGAAAGATTGCATAACAACTATTTTTAATAATTCATGGAATCACAAGCCCTTATAAAGTGATTCTATAAATGGGTTACTTGAGCTTACAAACACCAATATTGTTCGTAAATAGCATAAAAGAGTTACAGAATTGCAGAATACCAGAAATATATCTCTGACCAATAGTCTAGAGCTTAAAATTATATAAAGTTCAATACATTGAACTTAATTATCATTTTATAAAAAGGATATTTTTCAAAAGTAATATAAAACCATCCACTGCATCCACCACCGTCACCACATCCGCCTCCACCGCATCCACCATGGCTACCACATCCACCTCCACCACCACATCCACCACCGTCACCACATCCGCCTTTTCCACCACATCCACCTCCACCTCCACCACAACCGGCACCTCCACCACATCCTCCTCAACCACCACAGCCTCCGCAACCACCACATCCACCTCCACATCCACCACCACATCCACCTCCACCGCATCCACCACCGCCACCACACCCTCCTCCACCACCACAGCCTCCGCAACCACCACAGCCTCCGCAGCCACCACTCCATCACCTGCACCACCACCACCAAAATCACCTCTATCTGAATCAATAACACATCGCCCTTGCTCAAATCCTACACCAGTATTATCACATACGATGCCTCCAGAGCCACAACCAGCACAAACATTAGCACCATATGTATGATACATGTAGTGATTTGAGGGTGTTAGATATAGAAGACCAGCTGCAAGCATAAATGACATATCTTCATCTGGAAATCTTTCAATTTTTCGTCCTCCTCTTGATTTAACTTTTCGTTGTAGAGACATTCCTGGTTTCCAGTCGGAAGGACGAGGCACACAGAGTACGTGTAGAAGAGCAATGGAAAATGACAGGGCAACATAGTTCAGAACTTGTCCTGCAGCTATCCTGCTGCAAGTTATTAACCCTTTCGTGAAATCTATCTTAAGTCCATCAAACTCTAGTGGTAGGTATCGTAAAAGATTTATTACTTGCTTTTGGCGAGGACCTTTATGATCCACTCTGAAAACTTCTACTCGCAGATGGCCTGGATTACCCTTAACTCCTCTTTTGCCTAAAAATAAAAGGAATTTTGATCACACTGAATTTATCAAACACAGTTCTCTCTCTTTCTCTCTCTCTCTCTCTCTCTCTCTCTCACCTCGGCTTCCAGGAATCCCCTTGATAAATCCGTCCCACTTCCCCACAAGAATCTGGGAATCTCCCTCTTCAGTTTTGATAACAATCGCTCTTTCACCAGAACCTGGGTCCAACGAAATACACTCCGGTCCTACCTGCATGATATTTGATTAAGAAAATTCCGATTTTTTCTGTATAATATAACGGTACAATATACAGTTTACCGATAATAATAATATAAAAACTATACGTCTGTGTAGCATAATTTTTAAAAATGGAATTAATTATATTTGTTGGTAAAACACAAAAAGCTTGACTCGTTTCATCTTCATGATAAGATTTCCAAATTAATTTAAATCTACCTGTGTTCCTAATGGTAGTTGATCAGAACCGATAACATGCGCAACTGCAGCCATTTTGTCATGATAGAACACATGAACAACTGACGTCATAACGCTTACACAGTGTATTAATCGACAAGTAAACATAATGTTTCCATTCTGGTCTCTTAACCTATAAAACAATAACGCTTTAATTTAAATTGAATAGAATACATAAATTCAAAACTTAAATTATTAGTAAAAAATATAAGATAGACTCCATTACCTGTGCATATCAGTACCTGAATATATTCTCTATTCGCGTTTTTAACCCGGGCACACGTACCTCTTGTATTTTCAGGGGTCTGTATTGTGCCCTTTTCATGATTTGTTTACTAGATTCATGAGTTTGTTTTGTTTATATTTTACACTTGAAGGAAAAATAACATAAACATTTTTTTCAGAAATCAGCAATGATTCTCAAAGATTAATATTTAAATTGGTAACCTTAATAATGTTTATCAAGAATAGTGGGGGGAATTGTATAAGATTTTTTCATAAGGTTAAGACTTTATGCAAAATTGTATATGGAAAGCAAAACAAAGTCATTATATCTAAGCACCAAGGAAACACTGAGATTTCTTTATATTTCAGGGATTTATTATTTATGTCGTTTCAAATCAAAATCAGTCAAACACAAGATGTGTTTGTGAAACAGTGTGCGTCCGGCGGCAACAAAGTTTTTTAAAAAGCTATTTTTAGCATATAGGTCACAGTCAAGGTAACAAGGTCATTGACCTTAGTGTGATTTGAAAGAACTTGATTAGTGAAGTATGCATACCAAATATGAAATTTCTATCTCTTATGGTTCAAAAGTTATGGTTAAGGTACCAAAAAACTATTTTTAGCATACAGGTTACAGTCAAGGTCACAGTCATTGACATTGGTACCATTTGAAAAAGAACTTTATTAGTGGAGTTTGCATACCAAACAAGAAATCCCTACCTCTCATGGCTCAAAAGTTATGGTGAAGGTTCAAAAAAGTTTTTTTAAACTTTAAGTTACAGTCAAGGTCATAAGGTCATTGACCGTGATGGCGTTTGAAAGAGCTTAATTAGTGGAGTACCAAATCAAACCAAATATGAAGTCTCTATCTCTCATGGTTCAAAAGTTATGGCGAAGGTTTAAGTTTGCAGACAAAAACTAATTTATAGTATGATGTAGGTGACAGACAAGATCACAGGATCATTGACCTTGATGTCATTTAAAAGAACTTTAGTGGAGTATGCATACCTAATATTAAGTCTCTATCTTTCATGGTTCAAAAGTTATGGCGAAGGTTAAAGTTTGCAGACAAAAAGCTATTTTTAGCATGTAGGTCACAGTCAAAGTCACAACGTCATTGACCTTGGTGTCATTTGAAAGAGCTTAATTAGTGAAGTCTCTATCTTTCACGATTCAAAAGTTATGGCGAAGGTTAAAGTTGACAACATACAGACAAACAGATAAACAAACAGCAGAAAAACAATATATCTATCAATCCGGGCGCATAAAAATATATCAATTCATGCATCAAATTTTTGTTCGTGTTAAGTACCCTTAAGAGACCTGAGGCTTACCACTATACCTCTTGAAAATTGAAAATAAGAAATTGGATTTTTTTTTAGAAATTGGATACCAGTGTGCACTGGCTATGTGAGTAGTACATTGAATATTTACTTATATTTTACGATATGTAGTACATCGATCGGCCATTCACAATCGTCATCGAAGTTTCCTTATATGTCATAAATACAGCAACTGTATGACTGATTTAATAAGAGGGTTGACAATGCAGAAAATTAAACTTATACCGAAGAAAAAAAATCATCTAATGATACAATCGACAAATACAAGGGAAACTAACCAAGCAGTTCAAGAAAATAAAAATCATGTAATGTATAAACATATGAATTGTTACCTGTGAGAAGCCACCTGACATTTGTTTTCTGTGTCAGACTTTGGCAAAGGAACAGGACCCCAAAGTTGTTCAACATTCGTTGGCATATTTGCCTCTTCGTAGATACCTGGCTCCAAAGAAAGTACAATGTCATCTAAAACGGGTCGTAAGAAAGACCCTCTGACCAAACATTTTGCAGACGGCAATGTGCTAACTACTTGCATGTCCCTTTCAAACTGGAATTGTCCACCTTCCTGTAACTCAGGGCGGATGAAGTAAAGACCAAATCTTTCTTGAAACCCTCCTACGGATTTTGATCTTCCGCCAAATATACTGTTTCTTGTTTCGATCCCAAAAACAAGTGTTGAATCATACGGGCCAAATGGAAACATTATATCTTGCTGGCTCCACGTCATGTTTCCCACTTTTCCTGTCAATTTTTTAATCAGAGTAGATTTCTTTGATGTGGAATCTGTTTTGAATACTTTCAACTTGATCTTTTTATCATTATTTGTGCTTGATGACGTGACTTGTATTGTATCAATAGTGACAACAGCTCTTCTTCCACACATTTTGTCGATGTCTTGCTGTGTAACATGATAAAGTTTACCCCTTGGAGAATCGCCTCGGTACATTGCACCAAATTTAGAAAAATGTTGATGGTATGTTTCTGACCAGAGCCTTCTTGTCTTCTCATCAGACACCGATAGTTTGGATCCAGGACTTCTGTCTGTCACCGTGTCATCATGAACAAGGGTACGACCAAGCAGGGATACTGTGACTTTAATGTAATCGATCGGATGAAGTTGATGTGTGTGCCAAAGCAAATCAATATCGTAACAAGGCACCAAAAATTCTTTTGGATGTATCCTCTTTAGATTTAAGTAAAATTTGTATCGTACATAGGCATCCCTAAGAAACTTGTCGTCTTTATAATGTGGCAGATGGATGTTATAATAGAAATCCTGCTGACGATGGACAGCTGCCAACAGATCAAAAGTGAAATGCGACGTATATTCTTTTATTGTAGGAGAAACCATTCCATTTCTTATCTCTGGGCTAAGCTCAAATGTTTCACCAGGATAAGCCCGGAACCAAATAGTTTCTGTCAGTTGTATCCCAGCTGATGACTTCACAACAGAATGATCAAGAACTCTTCCAAACAACGACATGCAATCCTGTGCATACTTGTGTGGTGCTAGCATATGACAGTGCCAGACCCATTCTATGTCAATTGGTGGGTGTAAATATTCAGACTGTAAGGTGCTTTCATTTTGGGAGGCAACAAGTGGAAGCCAAAATTTTTCGTATCTGTAAATGGAATATCGCAGCACCGCATCGTTTCGAAGGTATTCCAAACTTTGAACCTCGATTAGAAAGTCATATTCAGCTTTTGCTGCCTCAATAAGATCCACGCCAAAGTTGATATCTCTTAATTCTGACATTGTTGTACTCTTTCAACTGTAAGTTTAAAAAACAAGATTATCATTTACAGCACTAAACCAGACCATGTAGAACGCTAGAAAATGGGGACAGGAGCCCCCGGCCCCCTTTTCTCTGAATATAATTTTTCTACAGTAAAATCTTTATTTAGATACTGGTTCCGCCACTTTTTGTTCAAGAGAGGCCAAGCAAAGTCAAACGACAAGGTATAGTAATCGGAACACTGGTAAAATTGCTTTAAGGATCGAGGTTCGATCATCAGCTTTTCAGCATATTTTGGTCAGGACCTTTATTCATAACACTCTGCAACTAACATTAAGTTTTAACATTAAATCTGGATTCTACAATGCAAATTAAACTATATTCAATGAAAAAAACGCGATTAAATTCCACTCAATTAGGATTAAACCAGGAACTATACTTTGTGGCGAAAGGTTTTCTAGGAAAAACATGATAATCAAAGATTACGAAGCTCACCTCGACGAATGTTATCAGTGTTAGTAATGCTAATCTCACATCATATTTTCTTAATAGTTAGTATTTATCCCGACAACAATATTCTGTTCTGCAAGTTCTGTTTAACCCCTTACATGGCGTATAGACATCATTTCTACACGTCTAGCATGAAAAACATATTCAGTGTAAACAAATATTCATAACTTTGTTAATCCTGCATATCTAGGCAAGGAAGTTCATTGAGATTGATCTGTTCCAAAAACTTTAACCAGGTCTTTTGTTTGGAAAATATAGGTCAGATCCATCATCCGAACCAAGTCTGGTAGTGTCCATCCCTTGATGCACCATCCGTGCAAGTTTGGTTCACGTAGGGCTTATAGTTACTTGGGAATGAAAATGTAGGTCAGATCCAGCATCCGAAGCAAGTCTGGTATATTAGTGTCCATCCGTAGATGCATCATCCATGCAAGTTTGGTTCAGGTAGGGCTTATAGTTCCTTGGGAATGAAAATGTAGGTCAGATCCAGCATCCGAGGCAAGTCTGGTAGTGTCCATCCCTAGATGCATCATCCATGCAAGTTTGGTTCAGGTAGGGCTTATAGTTATTTGGGAATGAAAATGTAGGTCAGATCCAGCATCCGAAGCAAGTCTGTTTTGAATCCCTAAACATTCCGTGCAAGTTTGGTTCAAATTTGGTTGATATACACTTCAAAAAATGCATCATTCATGCAAGTTTGGTCCGAGAATAGGCCGCTGATGCAAATGAAATGTCTCTAATTATTTTTCAAATACCTGATTTGCATGTGAGAGTTATGCCCTTTTGAAAATGCAATTTATAAAAATATCTTTTTTTCATTAAATATTTGTGTAAATATATAAAACGTTTGAAAATAAAATTTTGCTCCTAAAACTTTAACCTGGGAAAACAAGAATATATCTAGTGTTGTTATTTTACACGTATATTTGGGTATATGCTAAAAATGATTATTATTTTCCCTTCAATAAGCTTTATACGGCTCTGTTAATTTTAGTTGATTTTTATTAGAGAATGCTGGTATATTTACACAAACCATTTGTTTTAGTGAAATTTTTTATGCTGGTAGATCTTATCACAAATATGGCAATGAAATTATTTTTAATGAATTCTTTCAACGAATTGTGAGAAATATAGCAAATATTTTTTGAAAGTCTTGGAAAAACTTTTAACATAAAATTGACACTTTTTAAGTAATATATAAAAATTAAAATCATGCCCCATTTTGATGTATATATTTTTATTTAATATAATGCTTAAGACTTTAAAATATATTTCTTGCTTATTAAATTTTCAATTTCATTTAATAAATCACATTTTGTGAGTTGACAAAGTCAAATAATTGATTGTGTGATGAAATTATAATTTTAAAGTGTTTTTTTATGATGTAAATGGCATGTAACTATTTTAAGGAATGCAAAAATCCTAAAAATAAAATCGGCAGTTTTTTATAAAGACACAAATTTCAGTGTAATATCTTGATGAAATGTGTCTAAGTTAAAGATGTATGTGTTGTAGTTTGTGTGTACATTTTGTGATATCTATCATGAAATGATGTGCATTCTTTTTCATAATTATTTGTTACTTATTCATATTCTTGGAGTTTTATAACAATTTTTCTATTAAATATGATCTTTTAAATTAAGGGTACAATTTTTTATAAACATTTTTAATCCGTAAGTAACCCAAAACAGTCATTTAATAATAAAATCCGTGTAAGTGCAAAAATGTCAAGAATATTAACATCGGTAAATAACCAATCTCTCATTAGTTAGAGGCGAAAGGAAAATATTTTAATAACTTTTTGTAATAATTTGGGTATGTTCTTTATCATATTAAAGATTGAAAACATTGTGACAAAGACTTCTGAAAAATATTTACAAATGTAGGGGGGAAATTGACTGAAAATAAATAGAGTTCATTTGCCTATAGTTTTGAAAATGTGGACTTATCTTTTATGTCAATTGAATAAAAAAGAATTTATTCTCGGGAAATATTGTTTAATGCTGTTTAATTAATAAATAATAAAAACAACGATGTTTAAAAAAGTAATTTTGGGTCTTCTTTGCAAGACAAGTACCCCTAAAAATGACTGAAATTGTGAAGTCGCAATATGTATTTATCATTCCATGTTTAACTGGCTGCACTACATTAAACAAGGAAACATGTCATGTGCTTTTAACTGATTGATAAGCAAGTGCTAATGTATCATTATGAAAAGTTTGAAAATCTTGTGACAAAGACTTCTCCGACATAAGTTCTACTTTAAGTAGCAGCTAGTTTACAATAATTTTATTTTTAAAAATCGAGAATGAATTATATTTATTTTCCCTTAAGAATCAATTTTTGGTTAGTATTTTCTCTATTGGCGTATTTTTCTGTACAATTGCAATCTGCCAGAATACATTCTTTAAATTAAATGTAATAATTAATTATTATAACAATAAACTCAGACTGTAACTTTGGTTTTTCCTTTTACTTTTTTGCATTGAGCAAAATATTGTGGCATAAAATGCACGTCATTTGCATTGAAAACTTACTTTCAAAAATTTGTAATGAAATGATATATCTATCAAAAATAAATATATAAAATTTTTCGCAACTAGTACGCTTTTTCTTTATTTTCCCAATTTTCTCTCCTTGTTAAAGGATAATATTTTTAGCATTGCATTTGATGTATACATGTAGCTCTCTGAGGTTATGGTTCAGAAGAGCTAAAATTAAACTAGAGGTACTTTGAGCAATGAGCTCACTAAATGATACCCCCCGCCTCCCATATGAATATAATGGCAGTGTCCATGTTTTGCTCTGAAAAATTCAAAATATATGTCAGATCAAAAAGTAAAATAGGAGGTTGCACAATGGCAATATGTAATTAAGATTCTGTGAAAGTTTCATTAAATTTCCTTCAGTGGTATGAGAGAGGTTGCGGATAAGAGATGGGTACCCCAAAGCGTAACAGACGGACGGACGTACAGACGGACGGAAATACCGATAACTATATACCCTCCCGCTTTTCAAGCGGGGGGTATAATAACGTAATATTATACATTTTTGCATGATAGTGAGGGAAATATGAAGATTTGTTCAGCCAAGAAAAATATGATATTTCTTGACTGAATAAATATTCATGTTTTCCTCACTATCATGCAATTTTTTTTTATTATACCGAAACAAAGCAAAAACAATGCAATTAACATAAACTTTAAAATTCGGCACCGCTCTCAAATATACTTTCATTTTTTGGAGTTGAACTATGTTCAATCTCCCATGGTCATCACTCATTTAACATGCGCGGTAATTTGTGCTGATTATATAGAGCCGAAAGCGAGGCTTCTGTGTCGACCAATTTACTCCGATGATATTCAACAGAAAACATGCATAAACATCCGCAACAAATAGTTCATGTCATTTTCTTCTGAATTGATCTATTTTCTCATAATTTGAAATGTAAGTAAATGTAAGGTAAAGTAATCTTATTATGAATATTAGATTTCGTTCAAAGTAAAACTAAATTATAAAGAACCTCAAAAGTTTATCGTAACGGAACTCATTTTTAGTGTAGCGCCATCTATAAACACTGAAAGAGATACGAACGACAACTCTACATACTTACGGCAAGCGGTAAATCTAGAATCCTCACATAACTCTAGCGTGAGTGGTAAAAACAAGAGATACAAGAAAAATCGTCAATCATCGACTTATTTTAATAGCAGAAAGCCGGTAGATATAATTTTTTGTGTTTATCTGCATTTATCGAAATTGATGTAAAGTATTTGAAACATGGGTGGCCGTGGAAATAACAAGAATCAAAAATCTCCTGCACAGAACTCGCAAAGTTCCGACTTTAATGTTTTATGTGCAAACTTCAATGAAGCATGTCAGTCGATTGACTTAGAAAATGAAAACTTTGTTGATGATCTTTTAAGTAAACTGAAACTGAACCCGAAATCTACAAGCTACAGTGAGTCTGATCTAATGGCAGTAAAAGTGGTCCACTTACTACTTCCTGCGCTTGGAGCGCTCGCAAATAGAAATCTTGAAAGGAACCTTAAAAGGCACGAGACGGTTATCAATAAGCTGAAGGCAGGGGTAAGAATCAATACCTACGAGACTGATAAATTAAACCAGTATGGCAGAAGGGAAAACATCAGGATCATGGGTATTAAAGAAGAGGTGAATGACGAAAATCTGAAGACAGAGGTCGTAAAAATTGCTGCAGCAGTTGGGGTAGAGTTAAATCACTGTGAGTTCCTGTGTAATAGAATTGGTACCAAACAGCCCAATGGTGGCGGGAAGCCAAGACAGGTGATAGTGCGTTTTGTCAACAGAGAAACAAGAAACTTAATCATAACTGCAAAAAAAGATCTGAAAAATCACAATGAGTATAAAGACTTGTTTATTGCCGAGGATCTCATCACTCTAAGATGTTCCATATGATCAGCAACCATGAACAAGTGAGAAGTGCCTATACGCGCGATGGGAAAATTCACGTCTTGATGAAAAACGGGGACAAAGCAACTGTTGAT